GCTGTTAGCCTGTATGTAAAAAGCCAGCCGGTAAACACTTTTTTTAAAGTAAAATTGTTCTCAATTGATCATCTCTAATGTTCTTACTTCAGGTTTTTGATCCTACATTTGCTTGTTTCTCTACAAGCAGCACTCCAAATAAGCAGTCTTCTGCTGTTTATAATGTCTGAAATTTATTAATTAATCATCCTTGAATTTTCCTTGAAATATCTAAGTATTTTTTAGAAAGTTTTAGTTTTTTACTGAATTCACCAAGAATTCTTTAGATTGAATTCTTCAAGGCAATTTCAGTATAAAAACATATATGTTTTTATAAACATATGTACCGAAAATTTTTTTTTCCTAATTTCAGCTTCCATTAAACAAAAATGGATATGTTTGTAGTCGGAATTTACTATAAAACATTTCTAATGTCTTCTGTGGAATTTGCAAGCTAAAATCATGTGAGTTTTCTATCCTTGTACTTCTGCTGTTACATTAAAATGATGCAAGCATGCTGTAATTGCTAGTGTAAAACCATTGTCTGACCTTTATTTTAAAAGAATTGTCTTGTTAGGAGCAGAACTAAATGTAACTATGCAGCTGTAGGAAACAATGGTTGTTCTACCTTGTAATTGTACACTACAATCAATAAACAGGATGCCACAGAGTTCAAGCTTCAGGATTAGAACCCTGCACAGAATAGGAAAACATTAGTAAATGCTGTCTGGCTATGCTTATTAGAAATGCCACGGTTGGTGTGACTTGTACTGCCAGCACGCTTTAGCATCAGGTTATCCAAACCTCCTATGGGCAAGTCTGAGAAATGTTACTTCAAGGTAATTTCCAAGACTTTGTTCTCCTTTCCTGATTAAAGCAGTTTGCTTTGAAATCAACAGAGATTTATAGAGTGTGCCTCCAAGAGAAGTAGCTGGCCTGTAAATTAAAGATCCAATTGCTTTTTTCAATGCAGTTGTTTTGAGGTTGTTTCTGTGGTGTTGTGCTGAGAGAGTCTGACACCATCATGCTTGCATAAAGTGCAAGAGTTAGTCAACCTTGACCAGAAGGAACTGCATAGTAAACTAACCTGAGCTCCAAACTGTCAGGCTATCATGAGTAACATGTGGTTACAAATGATTCAAAAGTTCTCTTTCAACCTCTGACATTTTTAAAACTCGAAAAGGAGCTCCTTATGTGAACATATATCTGTAACAAACATAGGAAAAATTCAACCTAAGGTTTATTTCCATACTTTTTTTGTTACAGTTTAAACTTTTAAAATGGTTATAGAGGTGAAGAGGACTGAAAATGCAAATGAAAGAGAAAGATGAGGTAGAGTTAGCAGAAGAAGGACAGAGGGGAGAAATTAGTTAAATTTCAGTAAAAAATGTATGATAATTCTTGAAAATGTAGTAAGACGTTAAGTAGAGATGGGCAGGGTGCATTAAAAAAATTTGTGGAGTTAGTATGAGGAAAACTGAGTTGACATTCTCTTACCTGAAGCTAAGTTACTAATAACAAATCTATTTTCCTCTGTTCTCTGTCAACTGGAACACCAGTTCTCCCTCCAGATGCTTGCAAGTAGTTTCCTCTGCTGAGAGGAAACAGGGAACTGCTTACTTGGATGACAGCTTTCCTAAGGGCATCTGCCAGTACGACACTTGTTTGATCTATTGAGTCTCTATTTGGACTTCTCTGAAATAGGAAAAAGCAAGCATACCTATTCTACCTTCTCTCATGGGTGAAAAAAAAAAGGAGCAGGAGACTAAAGATGTATTCAGTTCTGCTTTTCTTTCAGAATTGCAAACCTAGGTGTTTGCATCCACACAGGAAGTGTGCCCCATCATTGCAAATCCCACATATAATTCCTTGATGTGTTGGGAAGCAAGTGGGATTTCATCTGCAGAACTAATGTTTTTGGTATGAGCTTGGTCAGTTGTGCAGAGCACTGGAACTGCAGGAAGCCTGTGCTGTGCAGCAAGCTGACACTTACTCTGCTGTGCAGCACAATGAGAACTCTCCTGGCTTTGGTATGTCAGGAGTGATACTGAGTCACTGAACTAGAGAGCCTTGTGGGGCAAGGCCACCTTGCCCCAAAATAAGCTAGTGTTTCTAGCTTACTAACACAGTTTCAATGTTATGTGATTTGTATGTTTTCTTGATTAGACCATGTAAATATAATCTGAGATGTTTTACAGTATTCATTCTGTAGCCTATTTCTCATTCTTGGATGACAACTGGCTCCTTTTGAGATCAGGGTTGTAATGTGCTGCTTTTCTCCTTTCTACTACTGGAATTAAAAACGGCTGTTAAAAGGCTTTACTACCTCAACATTTTAAATGGTAAAAATACTTGTTTAAATATTTATTACAGACCTACAGAAAGCAAGCTTAAAACGTGTGTGTGGGGAGCCACTTAGTTTCAAATTCAGGCTCTGCTTTTGAGGTCAAGGCTTTTGTGCATGTATCTCTAAGTTTAAATCCTACCCCTCCTTCTTTGGTTTCTCCTTTATTAGAATATCCTCTGTGTTTCTGGAAAAAAATATTCCTGAAAAGCAACTGAGTGGGAGTTTGTGATCACTTTGAAGCCAATTTCAAAACTTTTTTTTACAAAGTTTCTGCAGTGTGGAATTCCATCCATTTTGCTAGGGACAACTAGGCTTGCTTCAATTTCACCTAAAAGGGAAGTTAGCAGATCCTGGAGGACTGTTTGTAACTGCAGTACTTCAGTAAGCTTTCCAGAGCTTACAAGATAAATAGTTACAGCAGTTACTCTTGCAGTACCATGAGTACCCTGTAAAGCCTTCACAATAATTTGAACAGAGTTGTCTCTTCATATTTTATTTACTCTTAGTTCCCACAGGAAAAAAAAAAATCAAGCAAAAAAAAAAAAAATCCAAAACAACACCAAAACCCAGAAAAACAACTAAAACCCAAAAAATTAAAGAAGCTTCAAACAAAACAAAATCCAAGAGAAGCAGAGGCCTTGTCCCTCCTGGTAAGCATAGTGTATTTCTCCTGAATCATGTGTGAAGAGGGGCTGCCAGAAGGTTGCACTGAACTCTGCAGTTCAGCGTATCAGTGCCACTCAGATTAGAAGGGACCTGGGGAGCTTGTCTAGTCCAGTCTCTGGCTCAGAGCAGGGTCAGGCTGTGACCTCTGAGTAGCTTACTAAGGTCCTTATCCCAAGGAACTTCATAAAGGGCTAGAGACTGCTCAGCTTGTCTGGAAAACCTACTCCACTGCTTGGCCATCTTCACAACCAGAAAGGTTTTTCTTGGGTTGTGTCAGAACCTCCCCTGCTTTAAGTGAAGACTACTACCTCTTGACCTCCTGCTGTGTAGGAGATCCACAAAGAACTTTATTCAACTGTTTAAAAACAATCAAACGTCCTTGAGACTTATTCAGTCCTTTTACTTTGCAGGCATTGAGTGTCCTTCCTACCCCATGGCAGTCTGGTTTTTTTCAGTCTGAACAGACACAGTCCTCTCATCCTAACAGGATATTTGCTCTTGTTTCCGGACCCTCTTGGTGGCCTGATACTGCAAAAGGGTGGTTGCTAGAGATGGGCTTTTTCCTTAAGTAAGCCTATTGGGGAGGAACTTCCAATTCCTTTTATAAAAAGACTTAGTAATTTCTCTTGTTCCTGTAAGAATGGAGCTGTAGGATTCCGGGTCTCCCTCCAATGTTGGGTTTATCTTAATTTATGTTACCTTGTTTGTTGAATAAAGCCCACTTCAGTTTGAAGTCTCTGACTGAGGCCTGCGGAGCGATTTCCATGAAGAGCCTTTGTGGCTCTCTGGTCTGAGGGGCACTTTTGAGACCATCACGGCACAGCGTATCCAGAGCTGTGACTGGAAATAATGAAATGCAATTCAGTCGGGAACTGTCATATCTCTATTGTGTCAGTAGAGTTGAAAGGACATAACCAAGCAGGGAAAAGCAGCAACTAAAGACAAACCTAAGTTTTCATCTTCTGTGCTTCTGAGACCCCTGAGGCTCTTCCTGGCAAAGGTGAGTCATGTGGTGGTTTTGTGTAGTTGAGGGAACAAAAATCTATGCCCTGGAAGTAAGTCCTCCTGTTTGACAGAGCTGCTCCTGCTGGCATTTCTCAGCTAAGGAAAGTGTTTGTGCTTCAGGGAGAGGCAGGTGCTCTGCCGGTCTGCCATGGTGCTGGGGGCATGGGGAAGCGCACCCTATCAGACACTTAACCTGACAAGATGCCCTGGGTAGTCAAACAGAAATGCCTTAACGCCTGGTGGTGGGTTTGGAGACTTTTTGGTGTGGAATTGTTGAGTTGTAATATTCATGCAGTAAGTGTACTGAGGCTTGTGACTGATTTGCATTACGATTGTCTGGGTTTTCTCCTTTCTTCCTGATAAATAGTCCTGATTATCGAATTATAAATTTCTTTGCCCTCCTACGCCTCGCTGATTCTTTTTCCCGTTGCCTTTTTTCAAGCCTGCATGCCGTTCCCAGTTTCGCCGGCGAGCCTTGCCGCGGAGAGAGGGAGGCTCAGCGGCTCGGGCGTGAGGAGGTGAACGGTTCGGGGATCCGGAAACGGTAAAAAGGGAGACTCAAGAACTCCTGGATTTGCCCCCCGGTGACGACACGCAGCGGCATTTAACACTTCGTTCCCGTAACCCTTTCCTGCCCGCGCGCTCCGGGAGGCGGAGGAGAGGGAGGAGAGCGGGCGGGGCGGACGCGGCGCCATCCCAGCAGCGCGCGGGCGGCGGCGCGGGCGCTGCCCGGCAGGGGGCGCTGTAGCCGCCTGCGCCGCTCCGGCGCTGCACTGCGAGGAGCCCCCGCGTGTCCGCCATATTGGCGCCCGCGCCGCAGCCGCCGCGCGTTGTTCCTCCATCTCCTGCCGGCCCGGCCGCCCGGAGCCGAGCGCGGGAGGGAGGGAAGGAGAGAGGGAAGGGAGCGCCGGCGCTGCCGGGCGGGAAGCGGGGCGAGGAGGAGACGGAAACGAGCGGGGCCCGCGTCCCCCCGCGCCCGCCCCCTGCGCCACCCGCCATGGAGAGGAGGCCGGGCGGCCCCTGAGCGAGGAGCGCACGCACGCACGGACCGAGACTTGCCCCGGCTCGGCCCGGCCCGGCCCGGCCGCCATCAGCGGAGAGAAGCCGCCCGGCTCCCGCCTCCGCCGCGACATGGAGGCTGTGAAAGCCTTTAACAGCGAGGTGTGTAACCCCCTGCCGGCGGCCTCCCCTCCTCAGGGCCGGGGAGCGGGCGGGGCCCCGGGGCCCGGCGCCTTCCCTGCCCCCTCCTCGCAGTGGGGAAGCTGCGGGAACTGGGGGAGCTCCGGGGGGCCCAGGGGTGCGGGAGTGTTCCCGCAGGCCGGTCAGGGGCTCCCCCCCGCGTCGGGCGGGAAAGGGCCGTTGTCGCCGTCCCTGGGAAGCGGGAGGGTGGAGAGGGTAATGGAGACATCCCCCTCCCCCCCAGCTTCTTCCGCCGTGAAGCTGGGGGCGGCTGAAGGGGAAGAATAGATCTGGCGGCGGGCTGGAGGAAGAGGAGGACGCGTGAGGAGGCCTAGGAAGAGGAGGAGAAAGAGGTCTCTTCCCTGCGCCTGGCCTGCGGTGGAGCGGGTGATGCCCGGCCAACTTCACGCAGTGGCCGAAGAGGCTGAGCTGGGCGGCGGGGGGTCCAGGCTCGCCGGGCAGGGGGACTGTGCCCTTCCACGCCTTCCCTCGTCTCTCCTGCCACCCTCTTCCTCCTCGCATGTGTCCGAACCCCGCCAGCGCGCACTTTTAACGCCTCGTGCAGCTAAGCTTTAAATCTGGGGAAAGGAATACAAAGGCATTGGAGGTTCGACTCCGTGTTTAAGAGTCGTATATTCGCAGTGGTCAGGATGGAAGCAGACATTCTCTGCATGCTGCAAAGAGCTCAGATCCTGCACTGAAGCACTGTGCAGAGAGCAGGCTACGGAACCCAAGAACACATACATACATACATACATATAGGCTGAGGTGTTCATATTGCACCTGGCTTCTCTTTTGTGCTGAGAGCTAATGTTTATTTTATTGCAAGATGGTTCTTGCGGCAGCTCTGCTTTGTTGCTGTCATTGTGAAAGTATCATTTGTATTTTGAAGTTAATGTGCGAGCAAGAAAAACAAATACATGTTTTTCTTACCAAGTCCTATATTTTACGAAGTAGTTTTTAACTTATTTTGACCTTAGATAGTATCAGCACTCGTTACAATGTATACTTCTAGACACTGCTCACATACTGAAGCTCCCAGTTGCCCTCTCGCTAGTCCCAGCAAGGATGTAGTATGGTTTTAATGGTTTTAAGTAATGCTGTTCCATTTGACCTGTGATGGAACAGTGTGGCAACCATGTTGTTGTTTCTGCAAGCACAGTAAGATAGATTTCTAAAATGAGCATGTACTCCCCAGTAACACTTGTACAACTCTAACCTAGATGTGCATTTCTGGGTGTTGCACTTTATACAGTTTGAATTTTTAAGTAGAAATAAGCACATTGTGGCCACTAGAAGAAAATAAACACTATAGAATATTATTCCTATTTTATTACTTGATTGGCACATGTGCTATACTGTTATGCAGGGAAAAGGAAGAATCTGATCACAAAAACAGAAGAACATAAGTTGTTCAGAACATTTTCCTTCCATATACCTATCAGTAGGAGCAGAAGTCTTCTTCTTCACGTTGAAAAACATCTTCTGACTTGCTGAGCACTTGAGTATAAGTACTGTAAAAATAAGTCTGAGACTTAAGGTGGCAGCTGAAGAGGAGAGCTTTAGATTATGCCTTAGGTTTTCTAAAAAAATGGTAGATAGTAGGTTGTTGGAAAAGAAAATGCAGAAGATCTGACAGTGTAATTTTAACCAATTTATCTGGTATAAATAGACAGCATCTCTGATTTAACCTCTGTATTTGAATGCTGGGCTACAGTGATGGGAAGGTTTTAAAGATGCCATGACTAAACAAACTCTGATCCTGGAAGTAAATGGTACCAGACTTGCTACAGTTAAAGAATCCCAAGTGTCATTGCTAGCCACTCTTAACACCTCTGTACCCAGTGCAGAACTGAACTTTAATTTAACTTTCCATCATTTTCTCTGGTTGAACTTGCCTGTACACACTTTGCAATTTAGAACTGTGAAATGGTCACTAAATATTTGAGTTAGCTAAAGTATATGAGTCTATTTATTGCTGTTCCTAAATGGTTTTGATTCATTTACAAAATATCGGTTGTAAATATTACTTTCGAAATCCTGTTCTTTGTTTATATTATGTTTTAAGGTCATGTTAAACTCCAGAACTGACGTCTGAGTCCTGTTTTAGAGTTTTTTGGCTTAAAATAGATGTAAATTAAATTTAGCAGCAGATGGGACAGAATAAATTGTATAAAAACTTTTACCGTAGTTTTTATTATGCAGTTTGCATTCAGTTAATGATTTTACAACAGTTTACGTAACTTACTGGTGAAAACCAGATGATGCTTTGGAAGGAGCATTTCAGTGCATTTAAACACTCAAGTTTGCAGGTTGATTTTTTTTTTTGTTAGGCTTTTTTAAAGGAAGGAGTTGTGTTTGGATTCTGCAGTGAAGCTAAAATAAAAGCGGCTATCCATCTAGGGAGTATAGCTAACTCCAGAATTGTATATTATGGCTATCCTGTATGGCCATCAGGATTGAAGTGCTTAAAATAGGCTTGTCATTCATTTGATTAGAAGGAAGAATTTCTGGTTTATTTGAACAGTAACTACTGGGAATAATGGCGGCTATGGCGGAAAGCTGTGCAATGTCTAGTGACAATACGTAGCGCTGTCTGTGCTGTACCTAGTTGTATATATATAAAATTAGCCCTAACATTTCAAGTCTTGGGAAAGGTAAATTTAAACCTCAGAAATAATCAAGTTCCTAAATAAAACATGCTCAGTATTGTTTTCATGTAATGGTTGACATTTTCCTATTTGATTAAAACTGCTTGGCAACTGAAAATTGGAATAATGTACAACTGACTTAGTATAGTGTTGAGGTAATTGGCAATGTTTTGTACCACAGAGTTTATCATTTGCTACAGTTGGCACCACGAAGGCTTACCACTGCAGAGCCATTTTCATCTGGGCCTCAGTTTAGGCCCTGAGATTTTTCAGCAAAGCACAAAATCATATTGAAGAACAGGTCCTGACAGAAGAAAATGAGTCAAGTGTTTCAAATTTTCTGTATGTTCTGTAAAATGTATATTGTTAAAGAGAAGTTGAAATGGACTAGAGGCAAGCATGTGTATCCTTGCAGTTCATCTTAGATGACAATGATTTAATTGCAGATGTGTATAATTAAAATTCAATATTTGTTGCATAGTCGGCTCAGTGTTAAAGTCCTGCTGTCATCATCAACTCTAGCTGGCCATTGTAATGTTGCTTTCAGGTGCTGGTCTTGAAGTTGGTTTTGAGTGCTGTATTCTGCAGAGTTTTCTTGCAATACTTGTCCTTTTTGCAGTGGCAAGCTGAATTATTTTTCACTTTATAATGTGAAGACTGTGTGGAAAAAGAAGACCAATGGATGTTTTAATTCTAAAACACATTTAATTATTTTAAAATTTATTTCTATGTTAACATGAAGAATAAATGTATGTAGTTTTACAGTCACATAAATAGTCACAGGATTGTAATTTATTTTAGGGGGAACAGAGATTGCAAATTCATTTTTAAGTACAACACAAACTGAATATTTGAAGTTATGTTTTGTTTAGCCATACTAACTGCATCTGTAAGAATTAATAGGAATTTTGAGAAGACAGAGCAAATTCAACTTAGATATTTATTTCTTTAAAAATTGCAATAGTAATTCACTGATCTGGTTCAATTAAACATAGCATTTCTAATAATTTGAAGTTTATCAGTATTTACTCACATACAGGCACACATCTCATCATGTATGAGCTTCATCAAGTCTTGCTGTTTATGATGTTTACTGATGTTTTTGGTTTTGCATTCTCTTTGAAAAGAAAGCAAAAATAGCTCCTGCATAAGCTATGCATGCTTTGGTCAAATCACTGAATACTGTTTTCATTTTGAGTAGCTGAGACTGGTACTTGCATCTTTGATCTACAGCCTTTGAGAAGGTTAGTAGTGGTAAAACCTACTCAGGAGAGTTAGATAGCATATCTAGATTGAGAATTTACATTGTTGAATCCAATGCACAATAGTTGTTAATTGTCCAGTGCCACAAATTTCAGCTGTATTTGTTAGGCAATGCAGTATATTGTGGCATTGGAGAGACAATTGAGAAAAGGACAATTATATATTGGAAAAAAAGGTAAAACAGAGTAAGGTGAAGTTGGTCTCTTGAAACTCAGGAACAAGAAAGTCATGTGTCTTCTGATTCCTTTCAAAAACACCTTGTTCACTTGTATGAAAAGCTGGATTTCTCTCGTCTGTACAGTTGGGTGCTGATACTTTCATGTACGAGGGAATTGAATAGAAAACTTAAGTGTCATCACGGAGACCTGGAATATCTGCCATCTTAAAGTGGGATGCGCATAAAGTGCTATAAGGTTAAGGCAGTGATTACTGTTTGTTTAAAGAGTGGTGTGGGTTGCTGTGCCTTTTCTAGGGTGTGAGAGTCGTAATTAAAACTTCTGCAGCATTGCTGGGTTGGTGTTCAGCCATTACTGACAATGAAAATTGTTGTGTTGTCTTTGTATAGTTCATCATAAAATACACTGAGCTTTTGGTGTGCATAATGCTTTTGAGAGTAAAGTAAAATGATGCATAAAGTGGCTATTGCTGCTTTTGGATTCGTCATTCTGAAATTGATCAGTGGTAGAGATGTGGCAGACACTGATCATTTACTGCTAATGCTGTTGTCTCAATACTTCATTTGCACTTCATTTTATGTTGTCCACCTTTATCATGACAATTCTTTGGAAGGTGTATTTTAAGGATCAGTGAGGAACAGTTCAGTGGTCTGAAATTTCAGAAATGTGATCTTTGGAAATGACCTACATTTTAAATACTGAGCGCTGGAGTATGGGTGCATAAAAGTACAGAAGGCTAAACTAGATATTCTTTTTCAGACTACTTTATTTAAATGGCGTATTCTAAGTCAACGAGGTGGGTTTTTCATGAAGGAATGCCAGCTGATGCTAAAAAATGCTAAATGGTATGCCTCATGAAGATGCTAAAAAGAGATTGATGCTGAATAGCTGG